ACTTATTAATGTATGAAAGTAAAATATAATTTTTTAATTAACGTAATCAAGTGTAACTGATAATTGGTCGCTTTTAAGCACACGGGGGCTATTCCGAAAAATGCTGTTTTGAGAAAATGGAAGGTAAAGTCTTAGCCCCCTTAATCAGTTTCTTTAAAAGATAAGTAGAGTTTTCTCTATCAAGCAAATATACACAACAATGACACCAAACCTCTCCTCTAGGTAGGGCAAAGCCCACTTTTGGTGTAGATCAAGAATTCTGGAACCCCCGAAATCTGCCCTTAAAATTAAAAGCGACCAATTGTAGCAAGGCGTTGGATTTACTTACATCTTCCAAGGCTGCCTTGAGTTCATTTTTGTCGATGAATTCATACTCCTTCATATTGTGCTTATCCAGGACCTGCAGACACATTTTCATATAGTTTTAGAATTGGTTTTACCGCACTTGTAACACAATCAGGTAATAAAATTACATATGTATATACTTACTTTCACAAAAGCCGGACTCCAATCCTAACTTTCACTTTCACTAAAGGCTAACCCTAACCCTCAACTTTTCAAGATCCAACCCCCACCCTACTAACCTCACCCTAACCTTCCTACAGGCCTTACCCCAACTCTCATCTTCATAATGCCTAACCCTTCATAATATAGGCCTCATTATGGTCCGAAACCCCTCAACTCGATAAAGTTCTAGCTAGTCTATAAAGGCCTAATTCAAACTTCATCCTTAGAAAAGTTTAACGCCATCCATAACTTTACTTCCTTAAAGGCCTAGCCTTAACTCCAATTTTCATAAAACCTAAACCTATCCGTTATATTCACACTGGGGGATCCAGTGGCTTAGTGGGTAGTGAGTTTGGACTCAAGAGTATAATCAAGCAAGTGTCGGTGACACGCGGATCATTTATGGATGGTCACTGGGGTGTGTTCTTGAGCAAGACACGACAACCCTAGCTCAACTAACAGGGCGTTGCACAGTGGCGACCAGCAATGGCATGGTTGTGAAATTGTTCTGTATTGGTGTAATGTTGTGTATTTATGTATGTATGTATATGTATATGTATTTATGTATGTATGTATTTAGAATTACTTATTTAAGTAGTATGTTTTATATGTTTGCCATTGTAAATCAAATTGCCCTTCTGAGGTCAATATGATTGTAATTTATTTTTAGATTATTCATGAGACCTAAGCTAACACTCACCTTCATAAATGTCTCCACTGCACACACAACCCGTTGGTGTTCTCTTTCAGCTTTGTCTGAGATTTCTTTCTTACGTTGTTTTTCTCTGAAAATAAAAATGGGGTAAGTTTGGTATGTATTTTAGTTTGAAGAGATATCAATCAATGTGTGATTTCTTTGAGGCGGCTGCTTTTAGTCATTGCATTTGAACTTCGAAAAGAGATATAATACTCAGAAAGACAAGCAGATTTTACTGATCTCAAAGTCCAACTTAATAATAATGATGATGATGGAGATGATCATGATGATGATAATAATAATAAAAAT